TAGGAAGGGCACCTTTGAATTGCATTGACTTTGGAGCTATCAGGTCCCACTTGTTTCCAGCTTAGAAGGAAACAGGATGGACAATGTACCATTGTCAATCACTGCACTTCATCACTATCTCCTTCAAAACTTGGAATTAAAAGTCAGGACTCACAAATTTGCCCTGTCAACAGAACCTGTACAAATCACTGAAAAAACTACCTTCTTTCCCTAAGCAGCAACCTCAAATGGAAGAGGTGATCATTCTTGTCTCATCAGCTCTATTTCTAATTCTCTTGACAGAGAACACTGATTAGGCACCTTAAGTGTGATGTTATGGGGAGTTACCAGGTTAATGTCATAGGCTTTTGGGCTAACTCAGTGACTGCGCTTAAGAACTGTTGGTAACAAGACTGCATGGCATCAGTTAGCAAAAGCTAACAATTTTGTTATTTCTTTGTACAATGCCATTTTAATGATGTTTTTAGTATTTGAAACTACAGCAAAAAGATGAATGGGAGGAAAGGCTAGCAGGTCAACCTCAGGAACTGTGGTACTTTGGTACAGACTAACACACTGGAATTTGGAAGCTCAAGCAAACAAGCTTGAGTCTATAAGAGTGGGCTAGATGTTACACGAGGGCATGCTTACACGAGAGACTGCTGGCACATCTCTTCTGGGCAGGCAAGCAGCACTGGGATGCTAGCCATTCTCACTACATTTGGTGTATCTGAATCTAGAGCCAAGAAAAAGCAAGTAGAGTAGCATATGAACAAAGCTCTTCAGGAATGATTTGAGGTTTAGAACATCAGTGCTACGTTTTGGATCAATACAGGCTTTATGCATCAAGCACACTTCAGTTTGTGAAGGTGCCACCTGTTGCACACTGCACACGGTCTCTTGGCTTGCTTCCATGGCCTGTGCCCCTGGCTCTGGGAAAGGCTGGTCACTGAGCTCTGCTTGGCTAGATTCTGAGCAACCAGAACGGAGCGGACAGCGCTGGAAGCACTTTGTCACATGTGGCACGTTGTTGTTGACAATTCTTTATGTCAAAAATAAAATTAAAATGGATAATTTTAATATTTTGGGAAAGATTATTTTAAATTCACAAACTAAAGGCTGTTTTATTAAACACTGGGGGAAAGACATTTTCAATAAGCCTTGATAGAATCACAGAATCAACTGGCTTGGGTTGGAAGGGACCTCAAAGATCATTAGGTTCCAACCCCCACACCACAGGCAGGCTTGCCAACTGCTACATCAAACAATAGATAGGCTGCTCAGAGCCCCATCCAGCCTGGCCTTGAGTGCCTCCAGGGACAGGGCGTATACAATCTCTCTGGGCAGCCTGTCCAGCACTTCACCAGCTTCTCCGTGAAAAACTTCCCCCCCTGACATCTTATCTAAATCTCCCCTCCTTTAGTTTAAAGCCATTTCCCCTTGCCCTATCAGTATGTAATCATGCAAAAAGTTGGTTTCCCTGCTGCTGATAATCTCCCTTTACATATTCGAAGGCAACAATGAGGCCACTCCACAGCCTTCTCTTTTCCAGGCTGAACAAGCCCAGTTCCCTCAGCTTGTTTTCACTGGGGACCTCCAGCCCTCTGATCATCTCTGTGGCCTTCCTTTGGACTTGCTCCAATAGCTCCACTTCTTTTCTGAGCTGGGGAGCCCAGACCTGGATGCAGTACTCCAGATAGAGTTTAAATAGCTTAAATAAATGTTTTATAGGAGATATAATGCCTTGCTTGCATTCAGATCAGAAATCACTTTAGAAGGTGTAAATTGTTGTCTTTGTTCTAATAGGCACAAAGCCTCCCCCCTTCCCTTTCTCCTGTTTAGTATCTGAGCCGTCACGGAGGGGGCCAATAGCTCCCACTCTTTCACCTCTTCTCGGGCCAACCTAAACAAACACGTGGCTACACATTGCCCCAGTTACGTAGAGAAGGGACATCGATCTCAGCTTGGCACAGCGCGTGGAAGAACCGAGGCTTCAGGTCAGGGCAAGTACGAGTGCCTGGGCACCGACCGCACGCTCCCAAACCGACACCTCCGGGGCTGAACCCTCCCCGCCGTTTCTCAGAGGCGTCCTGCCATTCTCCACGCCGACGGCGGGGCGGTGGCGGGGCTTCATCCCTCGGGCTGCCGGCCGGGAGGCGGCGCGGCGGGCCGGAGGCGGCGCCTTATAGGGCGGGCGCGGCGGGAACGGCGGCAGAGCCGGGCCGCTACCCTGGACAGCGCCTCACAGCCGCGGCGCCATGGTGAGTGCGGGAGGCCGCGAAATGGCGGCCCCGGGACACGAGAGGAGCCCAGACCGCAGGCTGAGCCCTGGCCGCGGGGATGGAGCGGGCAGCCGGGGCTGCAAGGCGGGGAGCGGGGAAGGCAGCCGGAGGAGCGGGGTGGGGGGCGCCGGGGGTGGGCGGTGCGCCGTCCCCCTGGAAGCGTGCGGGGGCTGCTCGGGTAGGTGCACCCCGTTATCTCCCTGCCTGCAAGCAGGTGCGTTTTTCTCTATTTCGAGTCGCGTGTGAGCAGCTTACATAAAGAGATTACTGCCGGTGGCATGATAATCGAAGCGCCCGTGCTAGCCATACAATCTGCCGTGGCACACTTTCTTTTTTTACGCGTAGTGAAGTGAATGAACAATGGAGTTTTAGGTTCCAGTCTGACGTTTAGGAGAGTCAAAGTGGAACAGTGCAGCCATCTGTTTAGCAAGTAGCAGACTCTCTGCAAAGCGCATCGTGTCGTGCCGTCATGGTAACTTCCCGGAGGACCTCATCCCATTTGCAAACGGCGAGGCACGAAGCGTAGTGCTGACCTTACACAGTACAAGAGCACCATGCGTGTGTTCTGCACTCCAAGGCATAACAGGGCTGAATACCCCGTCCAAGCTTGTTGTATCAGAAGTGGTGGCATGATTTCTTCACAACCTGATTCTTCTTTCATACAACTTAACAGCACTGCTTTTTTCCCAAATGATTCTGCAATATACACTGTAATTTTTGCCCTTCACGCGTACAAATCAATTTGGAATCCCCTTTGCGGTGATCAGCTAAGATATGAATGATATTCAATTCCATTAGTTAAGTCCTCTTCCTAACAGTCACCTTCTGTAATTCTGAATTTGTTTCTCCTATTCAGTGTGTTTGCAGTCCACTCAGAGGTATATGATAGTTAGGTTACATATTAGAAGGAAGTTTTTCACTCAGAGGGTGGTGAAGCACTGGAACAGGTTGCCCGAGGAGGCTGTGGATGCCCCATCCCTGGAGGCATTCAAGGCCAGGCTGGATGTGGCTCTGGGCAGCCTGGTCTGGTGGTTGGCGACCCTGCACATAGCAGGGGGTTGAAATTAGATGATCTTTGTGGTCCTCTTCAACCCAAGCCATTCTATATTCTATGATAAATGGTACATAAATTTATAGAATTATAGAATCATAGAATTTCCCAAGTTGGAAGGGACACGTGAGGATCATTGAGACCAACTCCCAGATTCACACAGGACCATCCAAAAATCAGACCATATTCCTGAGAGCATTGTTCAGATGCTTCTTGAAGTCTGGCAAGCTCAGTGCCATGACTTCCTAGGAGCTCCAGAATGGCTTTCCACTATTTTACTGAAGAGCTATTTCTTATAGTGCTGGGTAAGACAGGAAAACAAAACATGACTAAGTTACTGATCTAGTACTTGATCTAGCAGTTGACAAGCCTGCTTGCAGCAGTGCGGTTGGAACCTGATGATCTTTGAGGTCCTTTCCAACCCAAGCCATTCTATAATTCTACGATACTACAACTTTGTGTAGTTATAGTAATACCAGCCATTGATACCATCTCTCTTATTATATAATGATTACAGTTACAGATAAAACTGGTGTTCCAGAAGGCAATGTGTGTCATTTATCAGTGACTGGTACAAGTAATATCCAGGTTGAGACAGCTTGAAAGAAAGTTAGAATAGCCTGAAACAGGTAAAGTATTTCATTTGGGCTCATCTCATTTGGACTGAGATGACATCAATCATATGGGTACAAATAAAGAAATGACAAATATCAACAACTTTGTATTCCTGCTAATGGAAATTATAGTTGACACTTTTCCCTAACCTATCATTTCTGTTTCTTAGAGCTGTTCCATTCAACCTTTGAATTATTCTTTGAACAGCTGGCAGCATTGGCTAGATACATGTGTTCAGAGTTACACATGAGCTCTATTAGCAAGTTTTTGCTCTCCTGTATCTCCAATTATCTGTTATTGCTGAAAAGTGGCTTAGATTTTGCATTATTCACAAATGAACGCATTCTGAGAGGAAAATGACCAATTTGGTAGAATCCCCTAACCAAAGGTTGCTTTGGTTCTAAAAGTTTGAAAGAGTGTCATGGGAGCATTAATGCCTGAAGATGAAACCCAAGCTTTTGATGAAAACTGCTGCAATGAAACTAATACAGGGTTAAAAGTTGCAGCCCATGAGTGTCTAGGTAGTCTTGGAGCTGACTGAGGGAAGAGAGGAGGATGCTACTGACGGTACCAGGAGCAAAGAAATAATAACCTTAGATTTTATGCCAAGTATGAACACTATTTTATCATCCCTTCTGAAGTGGCACAAGCAGGTATGTGTTACTAATGTCCCTTCTACTCTAAGAGTTTCATCAACACCATAGGCATTACATCGCTATTACTTATAGAGTGTAGCATAACGACTCTTAAATTCATTTTGTTGAAGCCACAAAACGGTCTTTGTGAGGCTTTCAGTGTTTCCTTTTTATCCCCACACTATGAAGGCAACCACAGTGGGACAGTTCTGCTTATGCAGTTCAATATGGCTGTGCTTACTTCAGTGGATCTAGGTCAAATTACACTGGCTAAGGATTTGGCTGCACCCTTGAACTTTAAACCGATTATAAATTTTGATTTGTCAGTATATTTTTTGTGGGGTCAAATCCCACATTTACAGAGTGAGAGAGTGCATAACCTTGCACAGTGCATGGCAACTAATGCTTACAAAGAGGCTAGATAGCACTACGGTAAGCATAAACATGGGGATGGCATGACACTGTAATTAATAGGTTCAAGTAGCTCTACAACAGTCCAGGTGCAGATGGGTTATTTAGATAGAAGGTAGATTATTTTTTTTTTTTTAAGTTTTCTAAGAAACTTAGGCAACCAGTGTAATTTGAGATTGATGAAGGATACCTAACTCTTCCAAGAACCATGGCCATCATGTCAGGGTATGATGCTTGATAAGTAAATTCTTATTTGCACAGCTTCTTATAAATACCTGTTATATAAACTTGCATCCCGGCCTTGGTGTTGACTCCTTTCTTTCCTAGGAATACTCCCCCCATTCTTTAAGACTGGCCATTGCATCTTCATTAGAATCACTGTGACCTGTAAAAGAAACAAATATCCATTGTTTGTCAGGTACTTCATTTAATGTTAGTTTTGTTTAATAGCATTTCTTGATTTTTATTACAGAAAATAGTTGATCAGATCCAAACGCATGTAATTTGAGACTCAAATCCATATTTAGTGATAAAGTAATATGCCACAAGTGCAGCTTGATTTGTCATGGAAGAAAGGATGGAGATAAATTAGGAGGATAAAACTAAGTGTACCACAGAGCCAAGAGCTGCTGGGATGAGTCTGCCTTGTGAAGGTGCTGTGGAAGGGCATATGTAGCATTCCCCTGCTACACCAGAGAAGCACCACTTGGTGAGTCAGGGTCCTGCAGCACTGCCACGTTACAAATGACACACTTACCTCAGGCATTTCAAATTTATTAGCCAATTTGTAAGAGCTTGGCAACAGCTGAGCTTACAAATCCATTATTTGCATGCAGCCTGCATGCCTTGCCTTACCATGTGCTAAATACTTGAAGCACATCAAAAATACTTGAAGATGGCTTCATCTTTACCCATAGGTCCGCTGCCCAGCTTACAAGTAGGATTCAGCATGAAATCAAGTCAGTATTTATGTCTTCTGTGGAGGTACTTATATACCTGGGTAACACAGCATAACAAACAAAAACAAAAAGAAACTCAAAGCTTTAATTCTGGAGGGGATGAGGGATCATTTTTTACAACTTCAGTTACATTGGCATTAATACTGAAAGCACTGTTTAGATGTCACTCTAACAACAACTAAGTGGGTTGCTTTTTTTCTTTTAATCTTAAATTCCTCCAGCTAATAACTTTTACACTGCACTGCATTTGCTCTTTCCCAGTCAAAACTGACAGCAGTACACAGTCATTGAAGTCAGATGTCACAAACTGAAGGAAATAAAGCCTGATGTCTCAGAAATAGCTATATGAAGATATGTAATTAGAGGACAAAAAGATGAGGTTGTTTTCATCATTGCTGGGAAACATTTTGCTTCGTTTCCCCAAGAGGAGGATAGATATGGAAATGAAACAGTAAATTCTTCATATTCTGTGTCATTATTTGAAGGCCAAACACAGTAAGGAATGGCAGTTGGAAGTTGGGTGGCCGAGTTTCAAATAACTATCCTAAAATCAAGCATCCAGAATCTCAACAAACCATTCTTTTCTCAGTTCTTAAAGACCTGCTAAAGTAAGCCAGTCCCTAGTTATCATCCAAGACACTTTGCTGCTAGCAAAGGCAATGTACTATGCCAGTCTAACTGGAGGAGTACCCTACAGAGATGAGGAGAAATCTACAGTTGCTTTTATTTCTTCTGTGTGGCAGTAGCTCATGCTGTTACGGACACATGGTGTTGTTGGAGCCTCACCAAGCAGCACAGTCATTAGCATTTCTATTTTGCTTGGAGAGAAGCAGCTGTCCGGATGTTTCCATGGTGGTTTAAGAGTTCTGGACTTCAACATTCCGGTTGTACGTGGATTAGACTCTGGGATACCTACTGTTGTCATTAAGGCAGGAAGGGCACTCATTAGTTTGTGCACCCTCTTATCCCGTGCCAGCGGACTGTTTTCTTTTACTGGGGTTCCATACCCTTTAAAGAGGTGATTTTGGAGTTCATTGCTCTCATTTAAGGTTTGAAAATTGGTAAATTTAGAGTTGTAGGGGGAGGTGGTGGAGAAAAGACTCCCATGCTCTCTTTTCTGGCTTCCTTTTCAAACTGGAAAACCGGCCATCACTTCCTTTCCACTCTTCACCTAGCCTTCTGTCATCACAACTGAAGTCAGAAACATGAAATAACATTTGAAATCCGGGTTTTTGCTCTCAAGGATTTAAGGGAAAAAAGAGAGGAAAAGGTAATCTACAGTTAACAGAAGGAGGAGATATTTTCCTCTTGAAGTGTTGTAATGTGTTCTCATCTAACACTTTGGAAAACATGCATCAGATACTGTTTCTTTGTTTCTCCATACTACGCATGCATTTTCATAGCCAGAACAAAGTAAAAAATACCTCGTTTCCTGCATTTCACTCTGGGCTGGATAAAACTGCTCCCAGAAGTAATGTGCTCTCAAACTGGCAGGGAATAAATGGCTGGCAAAGTCATCCAGGGTGATTTCCATGCCAAGGAACTGGCACATCCTTCAGTAAGGCAGCTCTGAATAGCACCATCCACACCCACTTGCTCTCCTGTCACTGGTTGCAGCGAGCCAAGTTACTTCTACTGCAGTTCAGAAGGTCAGGTGTGAGGTCGTGTGAGCTCTGCATCTGCTAAAACTTGGTATTTGTGGCAGAACAGTATTTTATTATGGACACATATTTTCTTTCCCGTGTTTGTCAATAGTCCACACAATTCCAAGAGAATGACACAAAGTCTAGTTTTGTATCTTGTTGAGGCTTGTTGATCTGTTATTCATCTCTCCTCATAGTTGAAATACATGGAGTGACTGCTCAAAGCTGCTCTTCTTTACAAATCCAGGAACTTTTCTAGTTTGAAGAAAGCATCCTGGTGCATCGTTTGTAAAAACATCTGCATCTCTTCTCTCAGCAGGGATGATGTTTCCTTACTCCTCTTCCTGGGATAGAATCCCAGTGTCATTTTGCTGTTACACAGGAGATGGTACAAGGAATATTGACTGTACTGGTTCCCACTGGAACCAAACTAGGGCTTGGCCTACACTCTTTCTGAGATGTGTCTTTTAGTATCGACAGAAAGCCATGTGTGAAGCAACACAAAAACCTCATAATTTCCAATGATGAAAAAGACATCAAGGAAAAAGCATATGAAAAAAAAACAGTTCAGATTAAGAAGGTGTTTATAAACTTCTTTCTTCTCCCCATCTTCTGCTCTTTTAGAAAGCAGAGATGACAGATGCTTTCTAAGCCTGCCAGTGCACAGGTGTGCTCGATAACAGCACAGTTGTCTTCCCCCTCCAAAGTGCATTACACATGAATTGCTTCAGAAACGCAAACCTTCCCCTAGAAATCAGCACCTTCCTTTGAAAAAAGTATTTAAGGATGCTGGATTGACCCTCAAAAGCACACTTGGATTTTTTCCTTTCCAAATACTGGAGCAAATGGCTTTAACTGGAAGCTTAAAGATGAAGCATCATGAATCTGTCCATGCCAAAAACCACAGAAGTCAAAAGTATATAACTTTCCTGGTTTTATGGTACACTGTTTAATTTCCAAGCTTCTCTTTTCTGGTAGAAGGCTAATTATGAAGCCTAAGATTTTTATTTTTCTGTTATGTGTCAAAAGCATCACAGGATACTCACACATCCCTGGAAAGCTGAGACACACCTTGTGATTTCTGAGAGCAGAAACAAATTTGAATATTGGCTCAAAATTAGGCAATTTGTGCAGAGAAATGGGGGAAGTATCATTTAGTTTATTGCTCTGAGAAATATCAATAGCTTTCCATTTCAGTGAAAGGCAACATAGAGAACCTTTTGTTTTTAGTGCAGTTATTCCTTCCTTAGTGCTGGAGATTTTGTAAGCTTACATTTGAATGGTATCTGAAAAAAAAAAACAAAAAAAAAAAACAAAAAAACCAACCAACCTTGAAAGATAAAAGACTAGATGAGAGTTATTTTGCTTACAATGAAAAACTCAGAAATATCATAGAATATCCCCAAGCTTACCCTAAAGCGTAAAGCACCGCTCCCCTCCTGCACTTTACACTTAATAAATTACCAGCATCGTGCTATTTCACACTGGATATCATTGAAACTTATCCTCAGGACTACATTTAATGCAACTTTTTATGAACAAATTTATTTTTAATCAAGTATAACTGTAGCCTATGGTAAGATTATAACGTATCCGTGCTCAAAGAAAATAATACCTTGATTGTATCTTTTCTAAGATCGAAGTCTAAAACGCTAGCTTTCTCACTTAGTGTGTGCAAAAGGAAGTCATCTCCTGCTGTGACACCTTTGAGAGATGGCAGAATTTAGATCAGAGAGCGTTTTTGTTGCAAATGGCAAAGTTGAAGCCTAACCCAGAGAACAAACTCAGGTGAACGGGTGTAAAAGGGAGAAACGACACAGCGCTGTATCATTTTCCCTCCAGATGTGTTTTCATGAGTGCAAAAGAGGGTTTGTATTTCAAGATTCTGGCTCACAGCTCATGGCTCCACTTACTATAAATGCATTCAGAAATACTCAAGTCCTAAGCACTCAGCAGATAAGGAATATCCTGATAAGCTAAAACCAAAGAAACCCTTATCAGTCTCCTAGTCTTCAGCAAATTTGGGGCTTCGTGTGCCTTCCTTTTTTTTTTTATGCTGTCCCCACCCTTCACATGTTCTCCACCAAATATGACTGCATTGGTAGACACCAATGCAAACATGATTCTTGGCAGTTCTCACTGGCTGCAATAAGGTGGACATGAAGGAGGACACACTAATGTGGAAGTAGCGATGTCATGTAAAGTAATACTGAGCTAAATAACAAGGGATTCACTGCAACATGACCCTCTGTGACCCCAAAAGCAAAATGAGATCATTAAACTCCCATGATAAACTCATTCCTCAGCTCCAGAATGAGATGAGGTTTGAATATTTATTACCTGAAATTATCTTGCACTTGACTCAATAAGCCATTTTGGGACATACTATGATCAACATTCCATTGTTCAGATCTTTAAGTTAATACAACAAAAAATTGTATCTGAATGTTAAAGAAGAAATGTGTATAGTTAGGCTGAAGGAAGCATTCAATTCCATTAGAACCCTCAGATGGCTCAGTGCTTACACCTAGCTGGAAAAAGTCCTGAAGGACATCTTCAGACACCACCTCGTGATTTCTGTCTTAGTATCTTGCTGGAATAAATCATTTTAAGTAAATTGTTTGTTCAAAAGATTACAGATATTTGCATTTCTTTTACTTCACTTGCTTGAATAACCCTCGCTGCTATTGTACATTTGCCACCCCACTGCATTTACAAATCCTACAGACTTCAAAAGAGGTGCACTGTGTTTTGCTGCTGCTTCTTTTTTTCTTAATTCCTTT